GGTAGCGACTGGGATCTTAAAAGCTTCCAAGTGGCCATCTAGATGCGAAGATGGGTCTCTCCTCCTACAGAGCAAAGAATGAGGAACACCAAAGACTTACAGAAGCAATTAGTCCAAGGGACTGGTAGACCATGTGATCCTCAGCCTATATGACCATGAGACCAGAAGACCTAGATGGTGCCTGGCTACAATGTCAACCACTCGGAGGGGGATCAGTGCAGGAGATCCTGGATAGAGTGGGAAAACAATGTGGAACAAAACTCAAAATCATAAAAAAAAAAAAAAAAAAAGACCAGGTTTGGTGGTCTGATAGAACCTGGTGAGAGCCCAGAGACTATGGCCCATAGTTACCATTCAGGTCTGGAACTGAACTCACTCCTGTGGCTTCCAGCCAAACAACAGACAAGCATATGGGGTGAACATTTACATCAGGAAGATACACTCCTTGGAGTGTATATCATGGGAGAACAGAAGGACATTGTTTACACAGGGAGATAGCTTGGGGGCCAGGAGTGCTTGGGAGTGAAGGACACAGGGAAGAGGTAACTACGGGGAGAAAATGGGAAGAGAGCTGTTACATTATGGGGAATTGCAGTCAATGTCATGAAACAAACTATATGAACTGCTATATGGAAAATTAATTCACTCTGTAAATTTTCACCCAAATTATAATAATTTTTTTTAATCACTGTATTTTCCAAAACAAACAAAAAATATTTATCTCTTCTCCAAATGATGGACATTTGGGTTGGTTCCAGTATGAGTCTAATATAAATATGACAATTCTTGTACAAGCCTTTTTTTTGTTTGGAGTATATACGTAGGAATGGAATTGCTGGATCATAGGGTAAGTGTATATTTAAGTTTATTATAAATTGCCAACAAGCTTCCGAAGTGGTTGTTTTCACTTCCAGAAGTGTATGTTTCTTATTAGCCTGCAATGAGGAGCTTGTGCCGGAATCAAAATCAACCACGTCTCTAAACATACTGTTTTACTTTAGCTGGTATTTTTTCATGGCAAGACTTTCTCAGTGAGTTACATTCTGAAGCAAGCTCCTTGTCTTATTGTGGACCAGTAATAATCTAAGCAATTATGACCTTAGCAATTTCTAAAGTATGAAACAAACATCATTTTTCTTTAAATTTCTTGCATTTACTTCAATTTACCCTTGAAGTAAAATTTTTACACTTTCAATAGTTACATTTTATTTATTTTTAAATCTAAGGAATTAAAAAAAATGTAACTGTATTGAAAGTGTAAAAATTTTATTTCAAGGATAAATTGAAGAAAGTGCAAGAAATTAAAAAATGGTGTTTCATACTTTAGAAGTTGTTTTTCTTCTGAAATATTAACATGAGACATTATAATTAATATAAAAATTTAAAATAAAAATCATCTAAAACTATTTTAAATTTAATTTTTAGAAATTTAATTAAATCTTACTAAATATTTTTATAAAAGTAACATCTTCAATTTTAGCATTCAATGCCAGTCTAATTGCCAATGTAAAGAAGTACAGCACACTTCATGCATGGTATGGTCAGACCTACATATGTAAAAATTGAAGAATAATGCAAGTTGTTTACTATTTTTAAATGTGCTTAAGCTACATTCAAAGTGCCCAGGCAGTTTCACTACAGAAATAGATTGCCCAACCTTCCTTCCAAGGAGTGGCTAGTGGGTTTGAACCGCTAGCCTTCTGGATAGCAGCCAAATGCCTTAGGCACTACGCCACCAGAGCTCCTGATCCACTTCTAATGATCCTTAATTTCTCATACACAATTCTGTTTGGGGAGAATAAAAAAATTTGATTGCCAGTTAATATCCATATCTGGGAAATACTGAATTAAACAAAGTTACAAATTTCTTTACTGAAGGATTCTTAGAGACTTTAATATCTAATGTGAATTGTGACTTCCCAAGAGCGAGATGAAATATAAAGTATTTGTCAAAGTTATTTGGCCACCAAAGTATTTTCATGAAGTTTTATTAATATATAACAGAAATAATGGCACAAACAGACATGTACACTTATGTTCATTGCTACTTTGTTTACAATAGCAAGTAAGTGGAAACAATCAAAGTGCCCATCAGTGGATGAATGGGTAAGTAAATTGTGGTACATACATACAATGGAATGCTACACATACATAAAGAACAATGATGAGTCCTTGAAACATATGGGTGAGATTGCCCCATCTTCCTTCCTCAGAGTGGCTGGTGGGTTTGAACCACCAACCTTCTGGTTAGCAGTCAAATGCCTTAGTCACTGAACCACCAGAGCTATAGAATATAGAGACTTGTTATTTTGAGTGATGGGAAAAGTGGCACCAAATGTGGATAGCACAGCCAAAATAAAAATGAATGAGCAGATTTGGATGGGTATAGGCATATTGTTATACAGGGAGGTACAGGTGTGCACATAGGTGAGAACAGATAGAACTGTCTATAAATACAAATATGTGAGTGCAAGCACACATATTCATTGGAAACACAAATACAGGTACTCTTCAGACATAACCAAACACCTTCCAAGATCGGTTTTTTGGGTTGGAAGGCTTTTGACCATTGTCTCATGAACAACTCAGTGTTACTGAATAATCTGTGTGGAAATTGTCAAATGGGAACCTAGCTTGCTGTGTAAACTTTCACCAAAAACTCAATAAAATATTATTTAAGAAGTAGGAGTCTTCAGGAAGAGCCATGGTAGGTAGAAACCATAAAGGCAGAACTAGAGGAGTAGTTGTAAAACCTGCTGACATGCAGAAAGAGCCTTCCTGGCCCTCGGAATGTTTTGATTTGCCACTGTACTTACACTGTGAGTGAAGCATCAGTGATGTCTGTTCATCATGACATCTTAACACCAACTCCAAGTTTAATCTTTGGCATTCTGGAATGTATCTTTGAGGTAGCAAGTCTGATGCCAAGGAAGCCTTTGTTCTGGTAGACAGTGGAATGGGCCCAATGCTCTTCTCCTTTCCTCTGTGTGCCTGATCCCTTCCATCTATTAGACTCTGGAGTAGTTACTCCACGGAGCCTTCCTCAGTGGTCTAGGTGATGGTGACATCTCCCTGCTCTCATCTGCTCACCCTGGCTGCCCAGTTTTGTTATTGGACTGAACTGAACCTCATCAGAGGTTATTCATATTTTTTGAGTCCATCTGGTAGCAGTGATGCTGAAGAGACTCTGCTATTGTATATTGATATAATTTCCCAAAAATAACCCATTCTTTTCACAGTGGATACCAACCCATCATATAATCTTTTACGAGAGATCAACTGAGATGATATGAAACCATGTGCAAATGCTTCACAAGTAAGCACTATTCAAAAAATAATGATTCTTACTTACATAGTTTCTGTTGCCCTGGTTAGTGACTGGTCCATTTCTAATGACTCTTAACCTTTGACTGGTGCTTTTGTAACTTATGTTACATAAAATATTTAATATCTAGCCATTTACAAAGAAAGAAATAGAACATAAAGTGTGTTGTGAGGTCTGGTTTATGACCCATTTGCCCGTACCTACCAACTGATTCAATTACGATGTTCATCTTATCAGTAGTCTGTTTTTTGGCAGCCCTAACACCAGTTCCACTGTTCTAAATACTTATAATCAGGCAGTCTAGTGCTTTTCCTACCACTTGCACCTTTATGTGGAGCACTGTAGATGGTTCTTGAAGTAGTGCAGAGCCAGCTTGAACTGGACCTGAGCATTGGTGTTGGCCCGGTATATACTATAGGTCTTCTCCAAGGCAACCAACTCTGAGTCCACTGCTTGGGAACGGGCCTGGTGACTTATAATCACTTCTGGGCAAGACCCCACAAACAGGCTTCCTAGCCCATCAATAAAGAACTCTGCAAGAAAAGGGAGAGCAGGAGAAGGAACTATGAGCTTCATTCAAATGCCCTGATCTGAGAGAAGATCCCTGGCAAGGTTCAGCCCCATGAAGATCTACACCCTTAAGGACTCTTGGAACCCGCCAAGTTGGAAGGAAATAAATAAGCTCATATCTCAGGCAGCGATATGGGGCAGATTTAGAGAGACACAGAGGAATTTTCCAAGTAGAACTGTGGACTCCAGTCCACGGGGGGGGGGGGGAGCAGTTAACCAAATACAGGGGGGACAAAGAGAGGGGACAGTTAACCAAATACAGTCACATGGAAAAGCTTTCTGGAAAAAGAGACCATGATCAGTGGGGTATGGCCCTTGGAAAGAACAAACTTCTAAGGTTAATGCAAGCCCAGCTCCCTTCACTCTTCCAACCTCTTCACCTGAGTGAGCCACTCGTTGCAGGTGAGGATCGAAGCCAACTCTTTGGAGTCGCTCTGTGTGGGCCAGGAAGAAGTTGACGACTCCGCTTGTCACCACACAGTTGGGGAAGCTGTCCAGTGGCCCGAAAGATCCTGGCCTCCGGTGAATACAATCCCCACTCTTACTCTGTTCTAGCAACAGCTTAAACTGGAACACGTTTCCAAGCACACTTCCTCCTACCTATTGGTGGGCAAAGAAATCCACATTAGAGAGCACAGACTCAATATTCTCTTGCCTCTTCCAGGAAGCCTTATTGGACTGTATCTATAAGAATTACACTCTTTCTGTATCTACTCTTCAAATTATCCCTCAGTTAAGGCAGTTACTGGTTTATGAAAGTGTGTCTTTAAGTAAACCTGTAAGTCTAGTCTGTAGGTAATTCGGAACAGGTGCAATGGTTCTCATTTAGCTTTACTTTATGAGTAAGAATTGACTCAAAGGCAGTGGTTTTTGTTTGTTTGTTTGTTTTTGGTTAGTGCAAGAAAAGGCTTGAAGATTTTTCAATGATTTAAAACCTGCACATGTAGCAAGTGAAGGTGATTGTGATGAGAATTTATTGTGAGTAGGGATTGGTCCAAGGAGCTCTGGTGGTGTAGTGCCTAAGGCATTTGACTTCTAACCAGAAGGTTGGTGGTTCAAACCCACCAGACACTCCGTGGAAGTAAGACTGAGCCATCCACTTCCATAAGGATTTACCACCTTGGAAACCCAAAGGGGGTTGCTATGAGTTGGAATTAGCAGTGAGTTTGGTTTTGGTTTAGGGATCGGTCCAATGTTTCAAAGTGAGGGCAAATTTACATAACATTAAAAGACAAGTACAAGTTGTCTCTAAGTTAGAGGTTCCTAACTCCAGGGCTGCCTGTGCCTTCTTTTTGCTATTGCAGCCAGAGCCTTCACCATACTAGTGTTGGGTCCTTTGGATTTTTATTTTCCGCTGATCTCAGACAATTTCCCTTACCACATCTAGTTCCGTTTTTTCCAGGACATCCACTAGCACCTCAATCTTGGTCTTGTTGACGAAGAAAAAGTCATCATCCACCCAGAGAACGTATTTGGTGGTGACCTGAGATATGGCTAGGTTCCTACCAGCAAACCAACCCTGCAGTAGGAATGAGGTTAGATCAGTCATTACCAACCCTGGCTACATGTTAGAATGACCTGAGGAGCATTTTAAATTCCCAACACCCAGGCTGCATCCAGAGCAATCAGATCGATGGAGTAGGGTGGAATGGAAGCATCAGGATTTTTTTTTTTTTAATTGCAATTTGGGTGAAAGTTTATAAATTCATTTTCCATACAGCAGTTCATACATATTTTGTTTCATGAGAAAATGCAATGGTTGCAGTTCCCCACAATGTAACAGCTCTCTTCCCACTTCCTCCCAGTAGTTACTTCTTCCCTGTGCCCTTCTTTCCTATGCATTCCTGCCCCCTGAGCTATCTCCCTGTGCAAACACTGCCCTTCTGTTCTCCCATGATTGATCCTTCTAAGGAGTGTATCTACCTGATGTAGCATCAGGATTTTTTAAAGCTCCCAGGTGAACCCAGTGTTCTACCAGGATGAGAACAGGGCTTCCAACTGGCTCATTCTGGTTCGAACCCCTGATGAGAACTTGCATTTCTACTCTGTTGTTGTTGTTATGTGCCGTCGAGTCGGCCCCAACTCATAGCGACCCCTCCTTGGGTTTCCGAGGCAGTATCACTACGGAAGTAGGATTGCCCAACCTTCCTTCTGAGGAGTGGCTGGTGGGTTTGAAGCGCCAGCCTTCTGGTGAGCAGGCAAGTGTTTTAGCCACTATGCTACCAGAGCTCCCATTTCTACTCTAGATATACTGAATTAGAATCTACATTTTAACAAGAACCCCAAACTGAACTCACTCCTGTGGCTTCCAGCCAAACCATAGACAGACATATGGGGCGAACATTTATATCAAGTAGATACACTCCTTGGAGTGATCAATCTTGAGAGAACAGAAGGGCAGTGTTTGCACAGGGAGATACCTTGAGGGGTGGGAGTGTGTGGGAGGGAAGGACACAGGAAAGAGGTAACTACAGGGAGGAGGTGGGAAGAGAGCTGTTACACTGTGGGGAATTGCAATCAATGTTACGAAACAAAATGTGTATGAGCTGCTGTATGGAAAATGAATTTGCTCTGGAAACTTTCATCCAAATCACAATAAAAATTTTAAAAAAAAGAACCCCAGGTGATTCTTACAGATCCTCAGGTGATTCTCAGGTAGACATAGAATGATGTGGAGAACTAGTTAAAATGTAGATTCTGATACAGTGTATCTGGAGTGGAAACCCCAATTCTCAGCAGGGGGCCAATCCCAATGAACCACTTTAAAGCCCTGCTTAAGAAGCACTAGGTTAAAGGAATCCATGTCTCAATGGAAATCTGGAAGAAGGGACAGTGCAGAGGCACCCTATACCTAGGGAACAGCAGGTATGGCACATGCCCTGGGCACCAATGAGCAGTTTCTATTCACCATCACAGTTTCCATCTCCAGCTCTGAGATATCACTCAGCAATTTAAAACCAATTGCCATAGGCTCTATTTTCCACAGATATGCCTCTGGGACAGTGACTCTCAGGAACAAAGACAGAGACCAAGAAAGACTAGAAAGTCCTTGCCCTTGTAGCCAATATGATTGATTTAAGTGCTTTGTCCCCTGACAGCATTTCTGTGGCTCTCCTTCCGTCTCCTGTTATGTTGCCTGGAAGATGTTGGGGAGAGCGCTCCGTTATGTTTATCTCATGGCTTAGAGCCAGTTCAGTCCAGTTTGGCCTTCTGATGAGGATTTGCATTTCTACCCCAGATATATTGAAATCACGATCTACATTTTAACAAGATCCTGAGGTGATTCTTATAGAGTGAAAGGGTTCAAAGACCTGTTTGCTTGAAGGAAAGTGTGTGTGTGTGTGTGTGTGTGTGAGAGAGAGAGAGAGAGAGAGTGAAAAGAGGGGAAGGTGAGATGGGAAGAGAAGGAGGTTAGAAGGCAGGGAGGGAGTCAGAGAAAGAGAGACACCCCAGCTTCAGCATGGGTGGCATGATAGAGATGCAAGGTTTTTGTAAGAGTGGATCTGATTGATCAGGAGCCTTAGAATGTTAGACACATCAAGTCACTTATTTGGACCCCACTCAATTTCCACACCAAATATGAAGAAAGCCTGGGTTAATCACCCCATTAATACAGAAATTTGAGGGTGACCCGATTTCTCTGTGACTCTGAAGTCAGCGGGGGTGGGGGGACTCAGAAGAGTGTTCTCACCCCATCCCACTCCAGGACCCTGCCTCCTTGGGAAAGCAGCTGAAGTAGCCCCATTCAGGGTAGGAGCTGACTCTGACCTGCTTGTCCTGGGACCCAGGGGTGTCTCCTAATCTTGGAGGAATGTACCTTCCCAAAGGGCATGGTGTAATACTCCACATGGATGTCATTAATCTTCAGGGGTTGCTTGCTGTCGTCAGCCACAATCACAGTCAGGTCCGGGTAATACTTGCGAATGCTGTGGAGCAGCACCTTGAGCTTGTGGGGGCGGAGGAACGTCTTGGTGGCAATGGTCACCAGGTCTCTGAGCTTTCTCTCTGGGCAAGAAAGAGGTGGGTGTCAGGATTTGTCTGGCAGGAACTTCACTGTCTTGACTTGTTTTGGTCTGATAGTTTCTTCTGCTGCTTCTTTTTTATTTTGTAACTTTTTATTGTGATTTGGGTGAAAGTTTACAGAGCAAATCCATTTCCCTTTTAACAATTCATTGATAGCAATCCTTTCAATGTAACCTCACTCATCTTACTTCCTCCCTGTATTTCTCATTTCCATTCTTCCTTCTCTCCTAACCCTTCCAGCTTTCCAAACTTTGGCCTTGGGCAAATACTGCCCCTTTGATCTAGAAGAATCTAAGGAATGATGTAAGAAATGCATACCTCCCTAGTGTTATTGTTCACCTTGTAGACCTCTCTATTGTTTGGCTGAAAGTTGAGCCATAGGGGGGTCAGTTCCAGACTCAAATCATGATCCGATAGCTTCTTTTTGCCATAGAATTTCAGTGCTTGCGGGCCTCATGCCCCTAATATATCAAACCCACCAAACCAAACCCATTGTCATTGAGTTGATTCCCACTCACAGTGACCCTATAGGACAAAGTAGAATTGCCCCATAGGGTTTCCAAGGTTATAATCTTTATGGGAGCAGATTGCTTCATCTTTCTCTCTCAGAATGGCTAGTGGGTTTGAACCACTGACCTCTCAGTTAGCAGCTGAGTGCTTTAACCACTCTGCCACCAGGGTTCCTTCACTAATACACAGTAGGTGCTAATGAGAGTTTGTTAGTTGGACTGAAAAATCAATATATTTAAGATGTACCCAACTGATAGAAATTTTGTGCTTATCTCCTGGAGTTTCCCTCCTTAGTTCTATGACATTTTCCTCCTGTCTGTTTTGATGCTTCATTTTACACGAATCTGTTACCAGGAGTTCTGGTAGTGCTGTGGTTAAAGCATTAGGCTGCTAACCAAAAGGTCAGTAGTTCAAACCCACTAGCCACTACATGGGCGAAAGATGAGGCACTCTGCTTCCATAAAGATTTACAGCCTTGGAAACCCTATGGGGCAGTTCTACTCTGTCCTATAGGGTAACTATGAGTCTCAATTGACTACAGTGTAGTGGGTTTTTGGATCAATACATTGCTTGCATTCTGCTTTCATTTTAAGACTAGGAGTTGAGACAGGCAGGGCTTTGTTCATCAGGAGATTTAACTCAGAGGATAACAAGGCCCAAGAAGAGGAGAAGGATCTAAAGGACTTAAGATCTGCCCCTGCCATCAGCTGTACCTCCTATAGAGAAGGCTGTCTGGTTGTTACCCCTCAAGGAAGACATGCTTGGAAACAGGTCAACTTGGAGATTGGAAGACTTGGATCCATCTTAATGCCTGTAATTTACATAAAAGTTTGGGAGAAAACAGTTTTCTATGGAAAAGACCCCATGATGAAACACCTGGAGCTGCTGGTATGTGTTTGGGATTCAGTCACTTTTTATGGAGCCCGACTCACTGATGGGTCTATGTGATATATGATGAGTATGTGGTCAGCTGGAGTCAAGGCATCCTGAAAGCCGCATCTTACCTATTATTTGTGGCTGAGTGTTCCATACCCTCATTTCAAAACCACTTTCTCAGAATGACAGAAATTAGAAGTCATTTCAGAACTCCCTTTTTAATACATGTTGCCTATAACTGCAATTCTTCCTGAATCTGAGGAAGGGAGGGGAAAAGATGTCAGTTAAAAGAATCAATTAAGTTGTGTTCAAGAGCATGTCAAATGAATCCTCTCCTCCCAAAGTCCAGTGTTTGGTTCTTTTGTTTTAGTAGAGAGAACCAGGGGCATGAATTACCAATGCAATATGGTCGAGGTTTGGGACTCGTGGCTAAGTTGGTATTGGAAGTTTCTGCTTCAAGATTCCTCCCCCCCCAATACATACAATGACAGTTACACAAATGAAAATACAGAGCTAGAGCCATGCTCAAAAATAGAATAAATTTCTCCCGAGGAACAGAAATAAAAAGCAGCAGGCATAGTTGAAGTTTTGACCTGATTATTCCGAGGTCAGAAGCAGGCAGAAGAGGCAGGAGGCCTATTCTGAGGGGTGACATAGGATGTGTGGGTCTAGAGCTAGAAACCAGGAACTGGAGCAAAGCTGCACTCCCTCCACCTTCCACTCCATACTACTGGCTGTGCAAGGAGTCCCCAAACAACTGTCATCCCTGCACACAGCCCTGGGTGATAACATAAACGATACTGCCTCCCAGCCAGGACCTGTACCAAGCCACCCTGAAGCCCATCTGGATCTTCAATAACTCCAATATCACTATAGGCCCCAATCCCCAAGAGTTAAGTATAAAAGGGTAGACTAGGAATCCGAGAATACTAGGGGTAGCAGCAATTATAAAACTGTGGGATGGGAGTCAGCTAACAGACTGGGAGTAAGCAAGCGAGCAGGAGAGAAGAAAACAAACAAGCAAACAGATATCTCTTACTCAAGGTAAGCCCACTAACAAAAATTCCAAAACTCTCACAGGAAACTAATATGAGGAACAACAGCCAACAGATCTACCAGATGGAAACTAACAGAGAAATCTGAAAAGGGAATAAAACAAAATGCTTGTGATCTTTAATTAGATAAATAAAAGAATCACATACTTGAAAAATAAAAAAAATATGGAACAAAAACAGGCATAAATGGAGGAAGAATATATGGCTATGAAAACAACATAAAATTATTGAAGATAAATGTTACGAACCAAAAGGGGGCATAACGTCAAATGTATTAAAAAAAATTTAAAGTATAAGAGAATGCTGTGAACAAATTTATGGTAATACATTTGAAATGTTAGGTCAATGGGTAATTTTATAGGAACATTTCTAAAACTGACTCAATGTACACATTGATCAATAACCATTAAAGACAGAATTGCTGTCTAAAAAAATTTCCCCTTTCTCTTGTTCTTCTTACTCATATTCCCACTCCTAGTCTCCCACTTGGACAAGAAAAAAGAAAAAGTAAAAACGAGGAGCAAGCACCAGGTAAGTCTTAGCAATCTTCACAGGACATGTAATTCCCGCTATTACAATGCATTTCAGAAAATCGGGAAACCTACCTAACTCATTTTATGAGGTTTGTATAATATTAACAAAACTGGACAAGGACATACTATGAAGAAGAAAAAAAAACCAGACAAGGACATTACAGGAAAAGGTAATCTCAGTTTTGAATATAGATGCAAGAATAAATAAAATAGCAAATTTAATTCAGCATTTAATGAAATAAAGTATCACAATCAAAGTGAGTTTATTCCAGAAATGCCAGGATATTTCATTAGCAGAAAATCTATCATTATAAATCACCACATGAACGCACTTATAGGAGAAAAATTATTTCAACAGATGCCGACAAATTAACTGCTAAAATTCAATTTTCATTTATAATTAAAACTCTTAGTAAGGGAAGTAGAAAAGAGAAAACAGAAACAGAAAAATTCTTAGCAATAGAGAAAGAAGAAAAGGCGGGAACTTTTTTACCGTAACGCATCTGCCGCACTCAACAGCAAACATGGGTGGGAAACCGTAGAATATGCTTCTTAAAGTCAGGAACAAGCTTAACTGCCTATCCCTGCTACCATTCAACACTGTATTGGAGATTTCAGCCAGTGCAGTAAGAGAAAGAAAGAAATGATAAGAATTGGAGAGGAAGAAGCAAAAATTATCATTATTTGCCTAAGACAACATGTATATACATATAGACAACGTATTTGTCTATATGTTAAAAAATAATAACCAGCAAGGGTGCTGTTTATAAGTTCAACACTCAAAAATCACTAATATTCCTATATACCAACAATAACCAATTACAGTAAAATCTGTGAAAGCTAGAACCTGTGTAAGGCAGAAACCTGTCAGAGAAGAAAAACTAGAATATTTTCTACTAAAATAAGCCCCATAAAAGTAGTAAAACTGCACCCTATCAAAGGCAGAAAACTTGAGAGACCTGGAAAAACAAGGCAGTTCTGTTAAGTTCCACCTTTCGCAGGTGTCACTGTAAAATGTGAAAGAAAAGATCCGATTCACAATTAAAAAAGTAAAAGGAACTTAAGGCTAAATCAAATGATGTATTGCATTGGGCAAATCTGCTGCAAAAGACTTCTTTAAAGTGTTGAACAAAACAAACAAACAGGTCACCTTGAGGATTAAGGTGTGTCTGGGCCAATCCATGGTATTTTCAGTCACCTCATCTGCATGTGAAAACTGGACAATGAACAAGAAAGACCGAACAAGAATTGATACATTTGAATTATGGTGTTTGTGAAGAATATTAAATATACCATGGACTTCCAGAAGAACAAACAAATCTGTCTTGGAAGAAGTACAGCCTAAATGCTCCTTGGAAGCAAGGGCAGCAAGACTTCATCTCATGTACTTTGGACATGTTATTAGGAGGGACATCATGCTTGGGACATTAGAGGGTCAGCAAAAAAAAGAGGAAGACCCTCAATGAGATGTATTGACACAGTAGCTGCAACAGTGGCCTCAAACAGCAATGACTGTGAGGATGTGTAGGACTGGGCAGTGTTTTGTTCTGTTGTACACAGGGTTGCCATGAGTTGGAACTGGCACCTAACAACAACAACAAAGCTAAATCCAGTAAAAATACAAGCAATTTCTTTACAAATAAAATTACACACACACACACACACAAAAAAAAAAAAAAAAATTGAAGAAACTGTAAAGAGACCAAAACATGTGGAGAGGTATACAAGATTCATGGCTGGGAATATTCAACTTTATAAAGTTTTCAATTCATCTCTAACTAATCTGTAAATTCAGTGCAGCTCCAATCAAAAGCTTACAGACTGTAGAGGCTCTTGACAAGCTGGTCCTACGATTCTAATGGAAAAGTAAGTGACCAAGAAGAGTTAAGAAAATTTTGCAAATGAAGTAGAGTGAGATAGGATTTGTCCCTACCAGATAGCAAAATCTGTCATAAAGTCTTGGTAACTGAACATTATGGAATTAGACCAAGGGTACACAAACAGATCAATGGAACCTAGCAAAGCCCAGACTCAGATCCCTGCATATATGGGAACTGGGCGTGTGATAGAAGTGGAAAGATAAGCAAAGGATGTTGTTGTTGTTATGTGCCGTCAAGTCAAACCCGACTCATAGTGACCCCTCCTTGGGTTTCTGAGGCAGTATCACTATGGAAGTAGGATTGCCCAACCTTCCTTCCGAGGAGTGGCTGATGGGTTTGAACCGCCAGCCTTCTGATTAGCCACTATGCTACCAGAGCTCCTAAGCAAAGGATAGGCTCTGCAATAAATGGTGTTGATAAAAACTAACTCCGAATGGATCAGAGACTTAAATGTAAAACCTAAAACTATAAAGTTCCTCAAGGAAAAAAATAGGGTAAAATTTAGGGGCCCTAATTTATGGCCTAAATAGACTATCAAGCATAACCCAAATTGCACAAACAGAAGATAAACTAGATGATTGGGACCCTCTAAAAATGAATTTTTTATATACTTCAAAAGATTTCTCCAAAAGAGTAAAAAGAGAACCCACAGAGTGAGAAAAAAAGGGACTTTTCTCTAAAATTTATAGAATACTCCAACCCTTGAACAACAAAAAAGACAATCCAATTTAAAAAATGGGCCAAAGTCATGAACAGACACTTCACCAAAGAAGATATTCAAGTGGCCAACAAACACATGAAGAAATGTTCACAATCATTAGTCATTAAAAAAAAACAAAAACAAACTCACTGCCATGGAGTCAGATCTGACTCATAGCGACCCCTCCTTGGGTTTCCAAGGCCATATTACTGCGGAAGTAGATTGCCCAACCTTCCTTCTGAGGAGTGGCCAGTGGGTTTGAAGTGCTAGCCTTCTGGTTAGCAGTCAAATGCCTTAGGCACTAGAGTTCCTCATTAGCCATTACAGAGATGCAAATCAAAACAATGGTGAGATAGCATCTCACCCCAGCACTAATTGCAAAGTTCAATGAAACAGAAAACAACTGCTGGCAGGGGTGTGGAGAGATTGGGACTCTCATACACTGCTGGTGGGACTCTAAAATTTCCACCACTGTGGAAAGCAGTATGATGATTCCTTAAAAAGTTGGAATTAGATATACCGTTTGATCTAGCAATCCCATTACTAGGAATATATCCTAAAGCAGTGAGAGCCAGGACAAGAACAGGTATATGCACACCCATGTTCTTTGCAGCACTATTTACAATAGCAAAAAAGATGGAAACAACCTAGGTGCCCATCAACAGAAGAATGGATAACCAAACTGTGGTATATACACACAATGGAATACTATGCAACAATAAAGAATAATGTAGAATCTGTTAAAAAAAGGGGGGGGGGCATAACGTGGATGAACTTGGAGGACATTATGCTGAGTGAAGTAAATGAATCACAGAAGGGCAAGTATTGTATTAGTTCACTATTGTAAAAAGTCAAGGAAAGGTTTCTATATGGAAGGAAGCTTTCTTTGTTGGTTACCAGGGATGGGGACAGAGGGAACACTGCTAGATAGGTAGAGACAAGTATTGATTTGGCTGAAGCGAAGGGCAATGTACCAAAAATGAGTGAGCAACCTGGTGGGACTGAGGAGGAGGAAGACAGAGAGAGGTACATGAGAGGTAAAGACAACAAAGAACACTTTTGCATGTACAGTACTGTGTTGTCAGTGATGGCAAGCATTGATCTACAGGTGGATAGATGGGTGGACAGGCTGAATGATCAGGTATGTCTAGGCAGGGGAGAGTGTGCCCAGGGCCATGTATAGGATTAGCAGACAATGTTACTACATGCATATTTGTATGTGCTGTAAGACTATCTGGGTGTATAGTAGAGCTGACAAGGGGCAAGTTTGTGGTGGCTTCTTGATCACACCCAGCTACTTGAAGGGAGTGAGTAGTTGGACCTATGGGCTCTAGATCATAGTCGCAAGGGACATCAAGCTCAATTGGCATAACATACTACACAAAAACATTGTTCTACATCCTACTTTGGTGAGTAGTGACTGGGGTCTTAACAGGTTGCAAGTGGCCATCTAGATGCAATGACGGGTCTTTCCTCCTATAGAGCAGAGAAGAATGAAGAAAACCAAAGATGCATGTCAACAATTAGTCTAAGGGACTAGTAGACTATGTGATCCTCAGCCTATATGACTATGAGACCAGAAGAACTAGATGGTACCCGGCTACCACTGTCAACCACTTGGAGGAGGATCTGTGTAGGAAATCCTGGACAGAGTGGGAGAACAATGTGGAACAAAACTCAAAACCATGAAGGAAAAGAAAAGGGAGGACCAGGTTTGCTGGTCTGATAGAGCCTGGAGGAACCACTGAGACTATGGCCCCTAGCTCCCTTTCAGGTCTGGAACTGAACCCACTTCTGTGGCTTCCGGCCAAACAAAAGACATACATATGAGCTGAACATTTACATTAGTCAGATACACTCCTTGGAGAGAACAATCATGGGAGGATAGAAGGGCTGTAGATGCACAGGGAGACAGCTCAGGGGGCAGGAATGCGTGGGAGGGAAGGACACAGGGAAGAGGTAGCTGTGGGGAGGAAGTAGGAGGAGAGCTGTTGCATTGTGGGAGATTACAGTCAATGTCATGACACAAAGTGTATGTGAACTGCTGTATGGAAGATGAATTTGCTCTGTAAACTTTAACCCAAATCACAATAAAATTAAAAAAACAAAAAACAAAAAAACAAAAAACCTCAATATCATAAAAAGGACCAGGTTTGCTGGTCTGATAGAACCTGATGAGACCCTTGAGACTATGGCCCCTAGTCTCCCTTCAGGTCTGGAATTGAATTCACTCCTGGGGCTTCCAGCCAAACAGCAGACAGCCATATGGGGTGAATAGGTAGATACACTGTAGATACATCAGGTGGATACACTTCTTGGAGTGATAAATCATGGGAGAAGAGAAGGTGTTTGCACAGGGAGACAGCTGGGGGTGGAGGGGGGTAGTGCATGGCAGGGAAAGACACAGGTAACTAGAGGAGGAAGTGGGAAGAGAGCTGTTACATTGTGGGGAGTTGCAGTCAATGTCATGAAACAAAATGTGTATGAACTGCTGTATGGAAAATAAAAATAAATAAATGGTGTTGAGACACCCCACATGATTATCCTACCTGATTCCTGATTACTGCATCTCTCCCTCACCCTCCTTTGACTTGGAAACTACCTTCATTGCAATGAAACTCCAGCATGAATGGGATCTATTTCTGAATTCTCAATTTGACTTCATTGGTATATATGTATTCATGCCCAGTGCCACTCTGTTTTTATTACAATTACTTATTAAAATATTATCATTTGTTTTTTTCAAAATAAGCACACATCATATTATGTATAAGTAAGCAGTATTAGAGGAGAGTGTCCTAGATTTTTTTTTCCCTTCCAAACACAGTTGTCATTTAGTAATCATCAGGACTGTTATTTTTGTCAACGCTCGCTCCTCCATCTCTGAAATGATCCCTTCTAAAGTTTACCAATAGCTCTATAGGGTCCCATTATGGGGCCCCAGGGACCAGGGCCTCACCTGGTCCAGGGTCATGTAACTTGGGGATGAGAGGGTGGCGAATGGTCACTGGAAACTTGGCCACCGAAGACTCAGACTCGAGACTCACTGCAAAAAGAAAGGAGGTCAGAGCCTGGGCACCATTAAATCTGGATCGTGCTCCACACTGCCTTGAGGAAGTCAATTCCAGCAGGAAATGCTGGCTGGAATGAGATTGAGGAGCCCAGAGAGTCTGGATTGGACTCTGGTCTTATTCTGGCTGCTAATTTGCTGTGTGTCGCTGGGGGCAATCTGCTGAATGCCTCCTAAACCCATCCTTCTTCTCCGTTGAGATTCCAGTGGAGTGGAGTCCAAGCACTGGGCTTGGAATCAGGATCCGGATGAAGTTCTGACTTTGCCATTTACTGTCTGAAATAAACCAAGTTGCTGCCAAGTCCAGCCTGGCTCATGGCAGCCTTCCGTGTGTCCGAGTGGAACTGTGCCCCATAGGGTTTTTGATGGATGACTTTTCAGAAGCAGATAACCAGGACTTTCTTTTGAGGTACCTCTGAGTGGACCTGTAGCATCAACCTTTCAGTAAGAAGCCAAACTGATTACATCACCCACCACTGCTGTTGAGTCCATGCAGAGTTACAGTGACCCTATAGGACACATAGAACTGCCCCATAGGGTTTCCAAGGCTGTCATCTTTACAGAACCAGACTGACACATCTTTTTCCTGTGGAGTGGCTGGTAAATTGGAACTGCTTTTTGGTTCGTAGTCAACTGCTTAACTACTGCACCACTAGGGATCTAGGAGGGAGGTTCAGCCCTGCCCTGGGAAGCCCTGGTCCAGTGTGGGAGACAGACCACAGACACTCAGTGTAGGAGTCTATCTAATGTGTATTAACCACTGCACCACTAGTACACTAGTACTGGGTACAGCAGTTGGGAAGTTAGGCATCTGGGATTATAAACAGGAACAAGAAAAGAATTTTAAACACCGGCAGGCTCTCTGGAGGACGACTTTGAGAGGGCCCAGTGGTGTGTTCTGGCTCCACAGCATTTGGAAATTCAAGGACAGGATCTCACCCATGTCTACCCGGTGGTGCTGGTACCCCGTGCTGGTATAAGTCACGTGATGGAGGATGAAATTCAAAAGCCCCCGGTTACTGGTCGAAATTATCAGTTGCTTCTGGCCTCTGCCCTGCACCACACTGTCTGGAGTGTCAGCAAGGGTGTTTAGTGTCCCCAGAGAAGCTGTCAGGGTAACCTAGGGATGGTGAGACAGAAAGACATTAAAATCAGGAGCTGAAAAATGTCTGTTCCTCAGAAAAGGTGCAACATAGGATGGGCAGCGGGGCAAGAGCACACAGGTGAGAGGAGAAGCATCAGGCATGGTGTTCCAGGTGGGGCTTCCCAAACCACTGTTTTTTTTTTAAATTGTGATTTGAGTGAAAATTCACAAAGCATATTCACTTTCCATACAGCAGTTCACATACACTTTGTCTTGTGACGTTGACCACAGTTTACCACGATGCAACAGCTCCCCTCCCACTTCCTCCTGATAGTTACCTCTTCCCTGTGTCCTTCCCTCCACACACTCCTGCCCCCTGAGCTGTCTCCCTGTGCATAAACAGCCCTTCTTTCTCCCATGATTGATCTCTCCAAGGAGTGTATCTACCTCAGGGAAATGTTCAACTCATATGCCTGTCTTTTGTCAAACCACTGGTATTTTTTGCTTTTAGAGCAGGATTCCTCTAGATTTCTTCTTATTCCACCTGTTTCTCCTTTTGCCTTCTCTCTGCCCACTCCTTTTCTTCCTCTGTCTGACCTCCACATGGAGTTTTTCAGAGCTTGGTTCTGGACCCTTTTCTCTTCTTACTCTATACCTTCACACTAGGGGATTTTCTCTGTTCCCAGGACTTTAAATACTGTGTATATACTGATGTTGTCAAATATGTGTCTTCTGTTCATCTCTTGCTGTAATCCTCCTGCTGATTCATAGCTCTGCAGAAAAGTTCCACGAGCAACTCACGCTCACATTGTTCAAAACCGAACAACTGACTTTTCTCTATAAACTCATTTCCCACCCTCTCTCCTCAGTTCTCAAGAATGGCACCATCATCAACTCAACTGTGGAGGGCGCCGAATGGAAGTCATCCTTGTTGTGCACTTCCCTCAGGCCCACATCCAATCTACTAATGAGTCCTGTCAGTTCTACCTTCCACCTGTAGCTGGAGTTGCTCCACTTTTCTCCATCTCCATTGCTACCCCCTAATGAAAGCTAGGGAGCTATGGTGGCACGGTGCCTAAGGCACTTGACTACTAACCAGAAGGCTGGCGGTTCAAACCCACCAGCCACTCCTCAGAAGGAAGATGGGGCAATCTACTTCCGTAGTGATACTGCCTCAAAAACCCAAGGAGGGGTTGCTCTGAGTCAAGTCCGACTCGATGGCACATAACAACAGCAACAACAATGAAAGCTACCTTCTTCTCTTGCTTTGTCTTCTGTAAAAGTCAGTTACCTTCATGAAAAGTAAACTGGAAACAGAAGGGCAGTATTTGCACAGGGAGATAGCTCAGGGGGCAGGAAGGCATAGGAAAGGACACAGGGAAGCAGTAACTACGGGGAGGAAGTAGGAAGAGACCTGTTACATTGTGGGGAATTGCAGTCAATGTCATAAAACAAAATGTGCATGAACTGCTGTATGGAAAATGAATTTGCTATGTAACATTTTGAGTCTTTGCTCAAATCACAATAAAAAAAATTTTTTTTTAAAGGTAAACTGGATTATGTTGCTCCTGCTGAAAACCTTTTAGTCCATCAGCCAAAAGACATTTTCTGAGAACCAAGATACAGACACTGGGAAAATAGTAGCGAGCAAGACAAATTCCCTGCCTTCAAGAAAGTTATAGTCTATAGGGGAAGAGGCCATAGGCATGTGATCACACATACAGAGTAATTCAGGTATAGATAAGTGATAGGAAGATGATAACAGAGTAATGGGAAAGTAATGGGTTTGGATAAGGGTGGAGGTGGAGGGGCAGGGAAGGCCTTTGGCGGATAGAGCAGTTTGGATTTGCTTACCATTCTAACCTCTGTCTAGCATGCAGAGGTGGGAAAACTAAAAACACTTTTCCAAGACACATTTTAGTAAGGTTTTGCATGTGATTTACATCCCACCAATCAGATAAGCTTGCATAAAACCATTTGGAGCTAAATTAAGTGGGGGAAAGAAAGGCGGGGCACAGAGCAACCATCTTGCTGGCATGAGCCGTGACAGAGGCAACATGAGGCAGGAGCTGCAGCAGTGGCGGTAGTCTCCCTGGGGACCTGGTTCTTTGATGTCTTGGGAGTCCTCCCTGGAACTCCAGCCATTTGCCACTCCCATGGCTGGAAAAATCATTCCTCTACACACCCCTGCCACTTTCCTCCTTCTCCAGCCGTGGATTCACATCTGATATCGATCCACATAAACCTACATAGGGGCTTCTGTCAGAGTCTCAGACCAGCCATAGCTAGGAGGATGGGACGTAGGCAGTGAGCAGAGGACAGGATGCTAAGGACAAAGAGGGGCTGGAAGGGGTCTCTTACCTCATAGAGGTGGGCATCTGGTCCTTCAAATTGGAGACCTGGAGGACATAGGGAAAAGGATCAAGAAAAAACACCCCACCATCTGAGAGGATGCCATGGGCTCTTTGATCATTTCACCCACCCAGTTGATGCCTACTCATCTTTTGAGAGTCCCCTCAAGTGCTGCCCTATCCAGAGTGCTCGCTGACACATCCCTTCTCCCCAGGGTCCCATCAGATGGTCTTCTATGGTATTTCTCAAGCCCTAATGGTCCTAACACCTCTGATTCCCAATCTCAGCTTCAGGTGAGTTCTATGAATTCATTTTCTGTTACTGAAAGGAAGGAAGCAATGGATAAATAGTGAAGGGATAATCATTTAAAACTGGCCGTTCAAAAATACTAACAACTCAATCCAAGTGTGTTTACTTTTAGAGTGTATCTCTATTCTAATATGACTAATTTAAGTTCTAATCCAAACACATACTCCCTTTGAGGCCTACAGGCAATTTACTAAACTCTCATTTGCTATGAAATTGGCAAAATAATATTTACCCCACAGGGTTGTTGTAAATGTGAGGTCAGTTTCAAAGGATGGATGCCCAGAGTGGAACCAGGTGA